AAAAAAGGGGATTTTGGGAAAAATATAAAAAAAGGGGAAAAAAAACGGGGTTTGGGGGAAAAAAAATGGGGATTTTTGGTGAAAAAATGGGGGTTTTAGAGCAAAAAATGGGGATTTTAAGACAGAAAATTCCGATTTTTTTTGAAAAATGGGGATTTTTTGGGGATAGAATTGGGATTTTGGGGTGGAAAAATGGGATTTTGGGAAAAAATATTAAGAAAGGGGAAAAAACGGGGTTTGGAGAAAAAAAATGGGGATTTTTGGTGAAAAAATGGGGGTTTTAGAGCAAAAAATGGGGATTTTGGGGCCAAAAATGGGAATTTTGGGGCCAAAAATGGGAATTTTTTGGGGAAAAATGGGGTTTTTTTGGGAACAATGAGAAATTTTGGGGGAAAAATGGGGTGAAAAAATGGGATTTTGGGAAAAATATAAAAAAAGGGGAAAAAATGGGGTTTGGGAAAAAAAATGGGGATTTTTGGTGAAAAAATGGGGGTTTTAGAGCAAAAAATGGGAATTTTGGAGGGAAAATGTGAATTTTTGGGGGAAAATTGGGGTTTTTTTGGGAAAAATGAGAAATTTTGGAGGAAAAATGGGGTGAAAAAATGGGATTTTGGGAAAAATATAAAAAAAGGGGAAAAAATGGGGTTTGGGAAAAAAAATGGGGATTTTTGGTGAAAAAATGGGGGTTTTAGGGTCAAAAATGTGAATTTTTGAGGGAAAAATGAATTTTTGGGGGAAAATGTGGATTTTTTTGGGGAAAAATTTGGGATTTTGGGTGGAAAAAATGGGATTTTGGTAAAAAACATAAATTGGGGGGAAATGGGAATTTTTGGGAAAAAAATGGGGATTTTTGGTGAAAAAATGGGGATTTTGGAGGGAAAAATGTGAATTTTTGGGGAAAAAATGGGATTTTGGTAAAAAACATAAATTGGGGGGAAATGGGAATTTTTGGGAAAAAAATGGGGATTTTTGGTGAAAAAATGGGGGTTTTAGGGTCAAAAATGTGAATTTTTGAGGGAAAAATGAATTTTTGGGGGAAAATGTGGATTTTTTTGGATTTTTTGGGGATAGAATTGGGATTTTGGGGTGAAAAAACAGGATTTAGGGAAAAAATATTAAAAAAGGGGAAAAAATGGGGTTTGGGATAAAAAAATGGGGATTTTTGGTGAAAAAATGGGGATTTTAGGGTCAAAAATGTGAATTTTTGGGGGAAAATGTGGATTTTTTTGGGGAAAAATTTGGGATTTTGGGTGGAAAAAATGGGATTTTGGTAAAAAACATAAATTGGGGGGAAATGGGAATTTTTGGGAAAAAAATGGGGATTTTGTGGGGAAAAAATGGGATTTTGGAGAGAAAAATGTGAATTTTTGGGGAAAAAATGGGGATTTTAGGGTCAAAAATGTGAATTTTTGGGGGAAAAAATGTGAATTTTTGGGGGAAAATTGGGATTTTTTTGACAGGAAAAAATTGGGATTTTGGGTGGAAAAAATGGGATTTTGGTAAAAAACATAAATTGGGGGGAAATGGGAATTTTTGGGAAAAAAAATGGGGATTTTGGGTCGATTTTGGGTCAATTTTGGTGGATTTTGGGTTAATTTTGGTGGATTTTGGGTGATTTTGGGTCAATTTTGGTGGATTTTGGGTGATTTTGGTGATTTTGGGTCGATTTTTATGGGTTTTGGGTCGGTTTTGGTGATTTTGGGTGATTTTGGGTCAATTTTGGGCAATTTGGGTAATTTTGGGTCAATTTTGGTAATTTTGGGTCAATTTTGGGTAATTTTGGGTCGATTTTGGTGTTTTTTGGCTAATTTTGGGTCAGTTTTGGTGATTTTGGGTAATTTTGGGTCTATTTTGGTGTTTTTTGGTTAATTTTGGGTCAATTTTGGGTAATTTCGGTAATTTTGGGTCAATTTTGGTGATTTTGGGTCGATTTTTATGGTTTTTGGGTCCATTTTGGGTCAATTTTGGGTCAATTTTGGGTAATTTTGGGTCGATTTTGGTGGTTTTTGGCTAATTTTGGGTCAGTTTTGGTGATTTTGGGTAATTTTGGTTCGATTTTGGTGATTTTGGTTAATTTTGGGTCAATTTTGGGTCAATTTTGGTGGATTTTGGGTTAATTTTGGTGGATTTTGGGTGATTTTGGGTCAATTTGGGTCGATTTTGGGTTAATTTTGGTGGATTTTGGGTAGTTTTGGTGGATTTTGGGTGATTTTGGGTCAATTTTGGGTCGATTTTTATGGGTTTTGGGTCCACTTTGGGTAATTTTGGGTGAATTTGGGTCAATTTTGGGTCAATTTTGGGTCGATTTGGGTCAATTTTGGGTCAATTTTGTGGCTTTTGTGTCAATTTCGGGTGATTTTGGGTGGATTTTAGCCAATTCCGGGTCGATTTTTACGTTTTTTGGGTCGTTCTTTCCGTTCCCGCCCTCATTTTGGGCGGATTTCGGCGTTTTTGGGGTGTCCCAGAGTGTCCCCGCTGCGGGCAGCGCTTCGCCCTGGCCCGGGGGGGTTGTTTGCATTTCCAGTGCTCCCAGTGCCGCCACCAGTTCTGCTCCGGCTGCGGGGCCCAGTTCCACCGGCCCGGGGTGAGTCGGGAACTGGTTTGGACTGGGAGGGACTGGGAGGGGGAGAAATGGGGGAAAAACGGGGGAAAACGGTGAAAAAACGGTGAAAAACGGTGAAAAAACGGCGAAGAAAGGGTTAAAAATGGGTTAAAAATGGGAAATAAAGGGTTAAAAATGGGGAAAAAAGGGGGAAATGGGGGTTGGGGTTACTGGTTTGGACTGGTTTGGACTGGTTTGGACTGGGAGGGGAAAAATGGGGAAAAACGGCTCGGTTTTGGGTAAATTTGAGCCAATTTTGGGTCATTTTTGATTCAATTTTGGGCCAATTTTGGGTGAATTTGGGGTATTTTTATCTCAATTTTATCTCAATTTTATCTCAATTTTGGGCACAATTTTGGGTGAATTTGGGTCATTTTTATCTCAATTTTATCTCAATTTTATCTCAATTTTATCTCATTTTTATCTCAATTTTGGTTCAATTTTATCCCAATTTTATTTCAATTTTCTGCCAAATTTTGGGTGAATTTGTCCCAATTTTATCCCAATTTTATCTCAATTTTGGACCAAATTTTGGGTGAATTTCTCTCAATTTTGGGTCAATTTTGGGCCAAATTTTGGGTGAATTTCTCCCAATTTTACTCAATTTTATCTGAATTTTGGGTCAATTTTGGGTGAATTTCTCTCAATTTTGGGTCAATTTCTCACAATTTTTGGGTGAATTTCTCTCAATTTTGGCCCAATTTGGGTCAATTTTGGGTCAATTTTGGGTCAATTTTGGGTCAATTTTGTGTCAATTTTGGGCCAAATTTTGGGTGAATTTCTCTCAATTTTGGGCCAAATTTTGGGTGAATTTCTCTCAATTTTGGGTCAATTTTGGGTCAATTTCTCTCAATTTTTGGCCCAGTTTTGGGTGAATTTCTCTCAATTTTGGGTGAATTTTGGGTCAATTTCTCTCAATTTTGGCTCAATTTTATCTCAATTTTGGGTGAATTTTGGGTGAATTTCTCTCAATTTTGGGTCAATTTTGGGCCAAATTTGGGCCAAATTTTGGGTAAAGTTCTCTCAATTTTGGGACAATTTTGGGTGAATTTTGGGTGAATTTCTCTCAATTGTGGCTCAATTTTATCTCAATTTTGGGTCAATTTTGGGTCAATTTTGGGTCAATTTCTCTCAATTTTGGGTCAATTTCTCTCAATTTTGGGCCAAATTTTGGGTCAATTTTGGGTGACGTTCTCTCAATTTTGGGTCAATTTTGAGTCAATTTTGGGTGAATTTTGGGTCAATTTCTCTCAATTTTGGCTCAATTTTGGGTCAATTTTGGGTGAATTTCTCTCAATTTTGGGTGAATTTCTCTCAATTTTGGGCCAAATTTTGGGTCAATTTCTCTCAATTTTGGGTCAATTTCTCTCAATTTTTGTGTCAATTCCTCTCAATTTTGGGCCAAATTTTGGGTGAATTCCTCTCAATTCTGGCTCGATCTCATCCCAATTTCTCTCCATTTTTTTTTCCCGTTTTCCCCCGATTTTTTTTAATTTCCCCTCCCCCTCCCCCACCCCAAAATCCCAGAGCTGCCCCTCCCCCCACTGCCCTTTGGGGGGGTCCCTGCACGGGCACCACCCCCGCGATTGCCTCTTCTACCTGCGGGACTGGGCCCCGCCCCGCCTGCAGGAGCTGCTCAGGGTGAGCTCCGCACTGGTTTGGACTGGTTTATACTGGTTTGGACTGGGAGGGGAAAAAAACGGGGAGAAACGGCGAAAAAACGGCGAAAAACGGGCAAGGAAAGGGTTAAAAATGGGGAAAAAAGGGTTAAAAATGGGGAGGAAAGGGTTAAAAATGGCGGGAAATGGGGGTTGGGGTTACTGGTTTGTACTGGTTTGGACTGGTTTGGACTGGGAGGGGACTGGGAGGGGAAAAATGGGGGAAAAACGGGGAAAAAAATGGGGAATAAAGGGTTAAAAATGGTAAAAAAAGGGTTAAAAATGGGGAAGAAAGGGTTAAAAATGGCGGGAAATGGGGGTTGGGGTTACTGGTTTGTACTGGTTTGGACTGGTTTGGACTGGGAGGGGACTGGGAGGGGAAAAATGGGGGAAAAATGGGGAAAAAATGGGGAAAAAATGGTTTATATTGGTTTATACTGGTTTATACTGGTTTGGACTGGTCTGAACTGGTTTATACTGGTTTGAACTGGTTTATACTGGTTTGAACTGGTTTATACTGGTCTGAACTGGTTTATACTGGTCTGAACTGGTTTGTCTCCCGCCCCAGGCTGGGAACGTCGAGTTCGAGACGGAGCCGCCCCCTGAGGCCCCGCCCAACCCCACTGGTTTGTACTGGTTTATACTGGTTTGGACTGGTTTGGACTGGTTTAGACTGGTTTGGACTGGTTTGGACTGGTTTATACTGGTTTGGACTGGGACAGCCCCAAAATTCCCAATTTTCCCCCAAAATTCCCAATTTTCCCCCAAAATTCCCAAATTTTCCCCAAAATTCCCAATTTTCCCCCAAAATTCCCATTTTTTCCCCCAAAATTCCCAAATTTTCCCCCAAAATTCCCAAATTTTCCCCAAAATTCCCATTTTTTCTCCTCAAAATTCCCCAAATCCCCCAAAATTCCCAAATTTCCCTCAAAATCCCCCCAAAATTCCCAATTTACCCCTTAAAATTCCCATTTTTCTCCCAAATTTTCCCCCAAAATTCCCAATTCTCCCCAAAATTCCTCATTTTTCTCCCCAAAGTCCCCAAATTTTCCCCCAAAATTCCCAAATTCCCTCAAAATTCCCAAATTTTCGCCCAAAATTCCCAATTTTCCCCCAAAATTCCCAAATTTTCCCCAAAATTACCCTTTTTTCTCCTCAAAATTCCCTAAATCCCCCAAAATTCCCAAATTTTGCCCCAAAATTCCCAAATTTTCCCCAAAATTCCCATTTTTTCTCCTCAAAATTCCCCAAATCCCCCAAAATTCCCAAATTTCCCTCAAAATCCCCCCAAAATTCCCAATTTACCCCTTAAAATTCCCATTTTTCTCCCAAATTTTCCCCCAAAATTCCCAATTCTCCCCAAAATTCCTCATTTTTCTCCCCAAAGTCCCCAAATTTTCGTCCAAAATTCCCAAATTTTCGTCCAAAATTCCCAATTTTCCCCCAAAATTCCCATTTTTTCCCTCAAAATTCCCATTTTTTCCCCAAAATTTCCAATTTTTCCCCAAAATTCCCAATTTTTCCCCCAAAATTCCCAAATTTTCCCCAAAAATCCCCAAATCCCCCCAAGATTCCCAATTTTCCCCAAAATTCCTCATTTTTCTCCCCAAAATTCCCAATTTTTCCCCCAAAATTACCATTTTTACCCCAAAAATTCCCAAATTCCCTCAAAATTCCCAAATTTTCCCCCAAAATTCCCAAATTTTCCCCAAAATCCTCCCAAAATTACCATTTTTCCCCCAAAATTCCCAAATTTTCCCCAAAAATCCCATTTTTTCTCCTTAAAATTCCCCAAATCCCCCAGAATTCCCAATTTACCCCTTAAAATTCCCATTTTTCTCCCAAATTTTCCCCCAAAATTCCCAATTCTCCCCAAAATTCCTCATTTTTCTCCCCAAAATCCCCAAATTTTCCCCCAAACTTCCCAAATTTTCCCCCAAAATTCCCAATTTTCCCCCAAAATTCCCATTTTTCCCCCCAAAACCCCCAAATTTCCCCCTAAAATTCCCGTTTTTTCCCCCAAAACTCCCAAATTTTCCCCCAAAATTCCCAATTTTCCCCCAAAATCCCCCATTTCCCCCCCCAAACTCCCGTTTTTTCCCGGAATTCCGGGTTTTTTCCCTGTTTTCCAGGCCGCTGCCCGGTGCCGGAGCAGAAAGCGCTGGGGGCGACGTTCCGGGACGAGCCCTGCGGGAAGGAGACGGAGCCGGGCCAGGCCGGGCTCTGCCGGTCGGTTCCGGAGGAATTCCGGGAATGCCGGGGAATTTCGGGAATTGTGGGGGATTTTTGGGGATTTTTTGGGGATTTTTTGGGGATTTTTGGGATTTTTTTCGGATTTTTTTTGGGATTTTTTGGGGATTTTTGGGAATTTTTGGGGGATTTTTGGGATTTTTTTCGGATTTTTTTGGGGATTTTTTAGGGATTTTTGGGAATTTTTGGGGGGATTTTTGGGATTTTTTAAGGATTTTTTTTTGGATTTTTTGGGGATTTTTTGGGAATTTTTGGGGGATTTTTGGGAATTTTTTGGGGATTTTTTGGGGAATTTTTTGGGGATTTTTTGGGGAATTTTTTGGGGATTTTTTGGGATTTTTTGGGAATTTTTGGGATTTTTTTTGGATTTTTTTGGGGATTTTTTGGGGATTTTTTGGGAATTTTTTGGGGATTTTTGGGGGATTTTTAGGGAATTTTGGGGGAAACTTGGGGTTTCTTTTGAGATTTTTAGGAATTTTTTTGGGATTTTTTTTTGGATTTTTTTTTTGGATTTTTGGGGATTTTTTGGAAATTTTTGGGAATTTTTGGGATTTTTTTTGAGGTTTTTTTGGAATTTTTTTTTTTATTTTTTGGGATTTTTTTGAGGTTTTTTTAGGAATTTTTGGGGGATTTTTTTGGAATT